CATTAGGTAGAAGACTACGTCTACGATATAGATGATAGAACAAGTCAAAAAAAGTCTGTCAATCCATGACACATCTATCAAACGAGGAAGAAGGGAAGGAGGGGGAGGACATGTTGTCTTCAACTTTTTTTGTTTTCTCTTCACACCTGCCTTTTGTGGACGTGGTCTTCACCACTGTTATAGATGCTTTACATCCACCCAAAATAGTATTTATTATTGTGAATTTTGATATAATTATATATAACTCACTATGCACTGGTAATATATATATGTTCCATTTTATGTGTATTAAAAAAACCATAATTAGTTAGTTTGAGTTAAAAATAAAAGATATACAATTTAGGTCCAAAATCTTATTTGATATGTTTATATCTAAAATATTTGTCTAAATATTTATCTAAAATATTTATATCTAAAATACATGTGATTAATAATTTTTTTTATTTTAAATATTAATTTGATACTGATGACCCAAACTTATTCAAAATCTCATCCGATATATTTTTACTTAACTTAAAATAAGTTTAGTGACAATATACCAAATTCACTTATTATAAGCTACGATTCGAAACCCTCATCCGACATATTTTTACATCTAACATAAAATAGGTAAGGGGATGATATACTATACTTACTTACCAAAACTTGAAGATTCAAAATTTTATTCGATGTATTAATATTTGACTAATATTTACTTACATAAAATCGATTTGTTTTAATATTTGACTAATATTTCACAACTTATGAAATATATAAATATGAGTATTTGATCGCACTTTCCTAAAATAATTAATGGGGACGCGCCTCCCGCTTCGCCTCGAGGATAATTACAACACCGCGTCCAAAGTCTATATAACCCTAACACCGAGTCCATCAAGGCAGGCGGCCAAGAGCACGATCGCACGCTCTGTCCTCGCCTCTGTCTCCAGTTCGATGATGTATTCGCCTCGGGATCGCCAGTCTGACGCCGCCTACGTCGGCTGCTGCGTATTCCTCCGACGCCCATCCACCCTTTCCCGTCTCGGCTACCGCGCGCTCACCTTGGAAGACTCCTCTGACGGCGAGGAGTCGGCGGTGAAGTTGGTGGTGGGGAAGGAGAGGCGGGTGTTCCTGGTCGACCGCTTCGTCCTCGAGAAGGAACCGTTGCGGGTGCTGATGGAGATGGTGGCGCGGGACGAGCGGCAGGGGAGGGGGTCGAGGCGGAAAGGCGCCATCTTTGTCGACGTCGACCACATCCTCTTCGAGCACATGCTCTGGTTGGTCTACAACGACAGCTCCTCCTCCTCCTCCTCGTCTTCTTCTTTGTTGCAGCTCAACTTGAAGGAAATTATAGACTTCTACTCTCAGGAGAATTGAGAGAGAGACCGCAGATGGTATCAAAATTGGATCTTTTCTCGTGTTTCAGATTCCACAATGGAATCTGTACATCCGTTCATCTTGTTTGTAGTTGATTTCTTTATTGAAATAGACATGGATTTACCTTTCAACGCTACTCTCTCTCTCTCTCTCTCTGATGGGACAATGTGATCGGATTTGGTTGAGAAAGAAGGCTAATTTTGCCAGGAAAGATTAGGACGGCAAGGTCAAAGCCTTCATGGAGACCACGTCTCCAGCAGTGTTCATCTTGTGGTGATCCAAACCAATCACCCTCTGATGATGCACGATGAACATAAGTCAAACACACGCAACCGCGGAGAAGACGATCACACGGATTCACGAACGCGGTTTTGGTTCTGCTAACTTGAAGTCAACAGTTTGCCTTCTTGCTCATGCTCGTTCAGCAGCTGATGATTTTGACTGTGTGTGCTTGTGGCTCGACCTCGACTGAGAAACCCCCTTGCTTCATAGAACAGCTTCAACTTTAATCTTGAAATGGTGCAAAGTAGAGAAGAAAGTACTTGACAGAGAAACAACCTGCAAGTAAGAAGATACAGATCGACTCTCCCAAAGAAGTTAATCCATGAATTTGATTTCATTTAGAGCCTTCTCCATTAGCAGCTTTAATGGAATTCCAGAGAACACTGATGAGACCAGCTAGACTTACAGTCAGCTTCATGAATCATGAGAGTCAAAACTGCATGCACCTTTAAAGTAGATTTTTACAAGTCATATCCAGAAGTTCTTCACATACAAATCAACCAGTACGGCATAATTTGTGGATTCAAATGGTAACCAAGAATGACAAGCCAGAAGCTCCAATAACTACAATCATAAGCCTACAGCGAACAAGAAGTTTACATTTCAAAGCCAGACTAAACCATAAACTTACAAACATTACAGATATAACGAGGCATTTCAGTTCCAACTCCACAGAAAACTATGCTCACACCCACGTCCACAAAGTTCATGACATAACACAAATCACAACCCAACAGAAAAACTAAGAATGGAAAAGAATACGTTGCTTTACATCAAAGACGTTGCCATAAATCCTGTCGCAGCAAGCCGCAGGGCAACAAATTATTAGTTCTTCCAGAAACAAGGAGGCATAAGAACACTGAACATAATGCGATACAGTTCATCAGAGACCCAACTTTTATTGTTCGTCTTCGTTTCGAGGGAAACTATCAGCAGGAACATCAAACAAACCCTGCATCCACAGCATTCTTTAAGCTCCCATTCAGCAGAGACAACAAGCTCCCACCATGCACCCTCCCTTCAGGGACCACAAACCCAGAGTTCTTCTCCTGGCTGTCGTCGACACCTCCACCAAAACCAATTGACACTGATGGAGGAGGAGATTTCATGGACATGGGGACCAGAACCTGCGGTGGAATGTGAAGCTGATGCTGTCTCGCATTTGCTTGTGACTCAACACAGTCTGAAACAGAGCTAAAACCTGCAGAGGTATAACCATTATCCATGCTGCTTCCAACTGTGACGGATGAGGCGACAATCCCTTGGAAGAGGCCTGGACCAATCATTCCCCCAGTCTTCCCAGCCTCGCACTCTTGCTGGGCGGCCATCATCGTACCATGAGCCGCACAGAGTCCACTCCTTCCCCTTGCGAACTTGTCACAGCCTGGGGCCCATGTGCACCGTTTACCCCCACCATGGGCTTTGCAGAAATCTGTCTTCCCCTGTGCGCTCTTATTGCACCCCTCAAAGTGGCATCGCTTCCCCCCACCATGGCGCACACAGCAATCAGTGCGGCCACGGGCACTCTTTGTGCACCCCGCAACAGCACACCTCTTACCCCCTCCATGTGCCACACAGAACTGTGTCCCACCATGGACGCTCTTCGGGCATACCCCACCACCCTCAAAAAGACACCGTTTACCACCACCATGCCCCTTGCACAGGGGTGTGCTTCCCTCGGCTCCCTTAGTACAACCCTGAAAAATGCATCGCCTTCCTCCGCCATGAGCTTTGCAGTAATTGGTACTCCCCTGTGCACCTTTCCAACAATCAGGATATTGACATCTACGCCCTCCACCATGGGAGATGCATAGCCCTGGCTGGCCCTCAGCACTTCGAGTGCACCCCTCTACAATGCACCTCTTCCCGCCTCCATGCTTGATGCACAAACCTGATTTACCTCGTGCAGCTTTAGCGCATCCTAAATGAGTGCACCGGCGCCCACCTCCATGAGCAATACAGAAATCTGTCTTACCATCAGCGCTCTTGGTGCATCCAAGCATCTGGCATCTCCTGCCTCCTCCATGAGCTTTGCAGAAAGCTGCAGTGCTCTCAGTGCCCTTATTACACCCAGGTTTCTGGCACCTTTGACCGCCTCCATGTCCGATGCATAGACCAGATGCCCCCCTTGCACATTTAGAACAGCCCTCAAACATGCATTTCCTAGGATGACGGTGATGGATTCTCTGAGAGACACTAGGAGAGGCAGAAAAAGCACCAGCTGATGACTCAGAAGCAGACAAGTGCTCAGTCGTTTGGTGAAGATCATACTGAAGATGATTGTTATCAGTGATTTCATCAGCTCCAGTGTCTGATGGATCATGGGTCCCTGGAGCATCTACCATACCAATAGAAATTGTCAGCCTCGGGGCAAATAGGAGAGATGGCATATATCCCCCTGAGTTTCTCTTGGCTGATGTTGAACTTTCATCAACAATTGGAATCAGGTGATGCTTTTCACTGGATATTTGCTTGGAGTTGGAAGAGGAAGAATTTGCATTGCCATCCACGGTAACCATTGGTTCCACATTTCCTCTTGAAAGTCCAAGTTCTAACATGTTACTATCAGTTTCCAAGCTCCAGCTTTGGTTTGTACAAGTGGCAGTTTCTTTTGTTTTATTAATTCCACCAGCAATGCAATAATACTCTGAAGCATAAGAAGTTGGAGTTGGACCTAGACCAAGAACCAAACGACAACCATCATCCGTAGCAGAAAGCTCGTGATTGCTCAGAGAACATACTCCTTTACCAGTTCTGCTGGTTTCGTAGCTTAAGGAGTTCAAGCGCAATGTTGTGTCACCCATGCTGATGCTTGTGCCAGATCTTGAGAAGTTCCCTGCTTCTGTCACTAGAAAACTCATCAAAGGCTGCTTTTCCTTTGACAGATCTGCCATGGTTGAATTCGTCATATCCGTCAATGGAAAAGTTGCAAAAACGAGGTTGGACAGAGGTAGGCCGCAGAAGGAAGGCCAGGATGCAGAGGACTTCCAGCTCTATATATTAGTGAATCATTCTTGAAGCTTTGGCTTTAAGGATGATAGAATAAGTGAAATGAAAATAAGCGTGGAATGTCAATTTACAACTTCCACCACTAACAAAGCCTGAAGTGTCTGCTCTGTCCATTACTTATTAGTTGATCGCAAAGGAAATTTACAAGTAGAGGGCAATTAGAAATTGCAGCATCCACCAATAGAAAACCATGACATCTATGAGATGTCAATTGAATCAACTTTATGAAGAGATTATCTTAGCTTCCATTGTTATATTGACAGCTTGGGGAGTAAAGTTCTTGAGAATAATATACAAGGCTGCATGATAAGAAAGAATTAAGAAAGCTTCATTAGACCAATATGGGAAAACAGAATTTACAGAACATCTTAGGAATAAGATTAATGATCAAAATGCTTCTATAGATCATGCACTCATCAGAATATAATTATAAAGCTGCAAATGATGAAGTGCAATTAAAAGTAACCCCACATATGTTTTGCAAACCCTGGCAACAAGAACTGAAAAACTGAAAATTTTATTTTGATGCTTATACTTCTAAAGCATGACCAATTTCTAAACAAAAAGTTATAGCAATAATCTATATCACATAGAAAATTCACATGGATACAAGTCACCACCAAATGTAGGTTTGAGTTGCCTAAGATAATAAAGGATTTTCATATATAAAAGTATACAACCAAACAATTCTGACTCGGTTGCTAATAAAATGATCAAGGATTTTAAACATATAGGCAACGAAAGCATTGAACCTCTTAAACCGCCTCTTGAAGCTTCTCAGTCAGTATCCAATAACCAAAATATAAGCTTGGCATGCATAGTGAAAGTGATCAAATAAAGATAACAAATTTAGCTTAACCATATACACCAACAAGCAAATCACTAAATGCTATATCAATCTAAACCGACAGAAGACAATTCAACTTCATCCTGAGCTCAATCTAAACAAAATACAAAATAGAAAGCGTTTAATAATATAGAGTCATTCGAAAAGCATTTTATCATTTCTTGTCATTCGACTGAATATACATATGCATATGTAGAAAAAACGATTCTAAATCCCAAAAATATATTTGGAACCGTTAATAAGAAAGAAAAAGCATAGATCGAGTTAACATATTTTTTGCTTTTAGCACAAGGTATAAGGGTTTTAAACATAATAATACGTCTTAATATTCAATAACAAGTCACAATATATAAAACTGGTGCCATCTAGAGTTTAAGTTTCATCAATTTGTTTGACACTTACCAGAAATAATGTTTAGATAAAATTACTTGAATTTGTTCAGATTAAAAAAGTAATTCAAACTTCATAACATTTCTTCAAATAAATGAAAAATAAGATTTCATAGGAAACTTCCAACAACAACACTGAAGAGATCCACCCTATCATGAATGATACCATGAATTCACTTTTAGATATTCAAGTTCCTAATAATCAGACACATAGGACGTATGCTATCATGAAGGGGGGACGCCACATGCTATCTATCATGACTGAAAGAAGACAGTAATTTTCATCGAGATATGGAGATTTTGCTGATCTAAACCTTTATATGGAGATGTGGGTGGACTTCTTCCATCAAGAAGCTCCACAAATCGTCACCAGCCAAACTACCGCCCAAAGGCCCTTCCAATTCACATACAACCAACCAAAATCTATAGCTTATAGCAGCATATCTAAACAACTTAAGCTACTGCTCTTCTACCAAAACTCTCCCTTTCTTTCTAGAACAAAAGGATCGACTGAAAACCAAAGACTCACACACACACACCCCAGCGTTCCAGAGAACCGAAATTGCCGAAAAAGAAACACTTGATCCGCCAAATCGAAGTCAGGGGAAC